AGGTCCACACCACCACACTGGCTAAATTTTTTTATTTTTAAATTTTATTTATTTATTTAGGCTAAATTTTTTTATTTGTTGTAGAGATAGAGTTTCCCCATGTTGTCCAGGATGGTGCCTTTTATGGATAAATAATTGCACTAAGAAAATTACATTTTCAGCCGAGTGTGGTGGCCGAAATCCACTCACGCCTGCAATCCCAGCACCTTGGGAGGCGGAGGTGGGCGAATCACCTGGAGGTCTGGAGTTTGAGACCAGACTGACCAATATGGAGAAACCTCATCTCTACTAAAAATACAAAATTAGCCAGGCATGGTGGTGAATGCTTGTAATCTCAGTGGCTCGGGAGGCTCAGGCAGGAGAATCACTTGAACCCGGGAGGTGGAGGCTGTGGGCTGTGGTGAGCTGAGATCACGGCTTGCACTCTTGTTGCCTGGGCAACAAGAGTGAAACTCCATCTAAAAAAAAAAAAAGAAAATTACATTTTCTCCATGATTGAGTCCACCAATATCTGTAAGTAATAACTATTTATTAAGCCTCTACTTTTATGTATATTCATTATTTTAATTAATCAGACAGTAGTTTTTATAAATGCCCTGAGAGATGAGAAAACTGAGTATTTGAGAGTAAGTAATTTTCTCAGGGACAGAGCTTGAAGTGCCTTAGGTTGAGTGTGGTAAAGCAATCTTACATAAAGATATTGATATTTATTTACTTATTTACTTTAGATAACGGCAATATTATCTACTATTTTGTTTCCACCAAATTTAAAATTGAGAAACACAAGAGTTCCAGAATATGTTGGTCCTACTTTCTTTAAGTTCTTGCAACAATACTATTTTTTTTTTTTTTTTGTGATGGAGTCTTACTCTGTCACCTAGGCTGGAGTGTAATGGCGGATCTTGGCTCACAGCAACCTCCACCTGCCGGGTTCAAGCCATTCTCCTGGCTCAGGCTTGTGAGAAGAAGCTGGGACAACCGGCCCACATCACCACACCTGGCTAGTTTTTATATTTTTAGTAGAGACAGAGTTTCACCATGTTGGTGGGGCTGGTCTCGACCTCCTGACCTCATGATCTGCCTGCCTTGGCCTCCCAAAGTGTTGGGATTACAGGTGTGAGTCACTGCACCCGGCCAACAATACCATTCTTTTTTTTTTGATACAGAGTTTCACTCGTTGCCCAAGCTGGAGTGCAATGGCACAATCTCGGCCCACTGCAACCTCCACCTCCCAGGTTCAAGCCATTCTCCCGCCTCAGCTTCGGGAGTATCTGGGATTACAGGCATGCGTCACCACGCCCTCCCAAAGTGCTAGGATTACAAGTGTGAGCCACCAGGCCCGGCCTAACAATACTATTCTTAGTTGGGAGTGAAAACAATGTGTAAGTTATTGTGTAGAAGAGGAAAAAAATCGTGACACAGATTTTCTTTATTTGCCATATGTTTTGTCATAGAGTGATGCTCACTTATTCTTTCACTCAGTAAACATCCATGGAATGTTTATATTGTAAAAGGCTGGGAGTTTGGCAATGAGGAATACAAGGCTGAATGGGAAACTTCAAAGAATTGATGACCTAGTAAGGGAGATTATAAACACGTGAATAATTAAGCAGAATGCTTTAAGTCATAAAGTATAGGAATACAAAGGTGGCATAGATTATTAGTACTTTTGGTTGTAAGGAAATCATACTTAGGTTCTAAACATAAACATAGACAATCATGTTTAGAATTTAGTTGTTAAACAGACCAAAGGTGGCCTTAGGTAAACCTAAAAGGTTTACTTTCGACAACTTGGCAATTTTCTTTTTTACAAAAATACAAGACATTTTCCAAAATATAAACTTTAGTCTTTCCTTAAAGGTCAGTTTTTAATCTAAAATGCCAGGATTCACTTTAAAGTATTAAGTAGTAGGCATTTTACCATTCCTCAGATTTGTCTGGCACTTTCGAGAATTCAGTATTATCACATAATTCTAACATGACCAATTGTAATAAAACCAATTGGAAGACTGAAGAAAGGGAGAGAAAGCGTGAGCAGGAGTGGCACCCACAATACAGTCAATAATTCTTTTTTTTTTTTTGAGATGGAGTTTCACTCTTGCAGCCCAGGCTGGAGTGCAATGGCATGATCTCCGCTCACTGCAACCTCCGCCTCCTGGGTTCAAGGAATTCTCCTGCCTCAGTCTCCCAAGTAGGTGGGATTACAGGGGTGCCCCACTACACCCAGGTAAGTTTTGTATTTTTAGTAGAGATGGGGTTTCTCCATGTTGGTTAGTCTGGTCTTGAACTCCTGACCTGAGGTGATCCGCCAGCCTCTGCCTTCTAAAGTGCTGGGATTACAGGCATAAACCATGGAGCCCAGTCCTATTCTTAAATGTCTCCTTTTAAGTTTAAAGAGACTCAGCTGGGCGGGGTGGATCACACCTGTAATCCCAGCACTTTGGGAGGCCAAGGCAGGAGGATCACCTGAGGTCCAGGAGTTCGAAGCTAGCCTGGACAACAAGGAGAAACCCTGCTTCTACTAATACAAAAATTAGCCGGGTGTGGTGGCAGGGGCCTGCAATCCCAGCTATTTGGGAGGCTGAGGCACAAGAATTGCCTGAATCTGGGAGGTGTAGGTTGAAATGAGCTGAGTCGTGCCACTGCATGCCAGCCTGGGCAAGAGAGAGATTGTCACTAAAAAAAAAAAAAAAAAAAAAAAAAAAAATTAAAGAGGCATGATCTCCAATGAGAATGAGCATATAAACAATACCTTTATCTCAGGTACTAATCTAATGCTGATTGATGCTTCACTCTTTAAAAGATGTGTTGTACTTTTCCCATTGGCTTAGAATTTGAACCAATAAGAAAGGAGGACATCTTTATAAATATTCATAACCAAAGGCTGGCACTGTGAATGTTGAGTGAAGATTGCTTTGTTCTTCATTTGAGTCACACTTTCAGAACTTTATGGTATTGATGTTCTTATTGCCATGGTAAGCAAACTTTAAAAACATTCAGCTTGGGTGTTGTCTTTGTGGCTTAAAATATATTTTCCAACATTAAGAAGACTTTATTTCTTATTGTTCTGACTTAAGACATGATGAATCCTTAACAGATGTTCAAAGGAAAATAATTAAATGCCAGTTTTTATTATCATGATGAACATATTTCAAAAACAAGATATTAATTTCCTAGACTTCTTTGAAGTTGATAATTACCAGGGTTCTTTCATGTCTAAAGTGGCATATATTACAGTTTTTAGTCTCTTATAATGGCTGTTTAGAGGCAGAGTTAATGTTAGGTTCTCAGCAACAGCTATTTATCTCTTGAGATTCTGGGTTATTACAATTTTTTGTTTTTGAAATTTTTAAAAGCATTAACGGTTTTTTGTATAGTGATTTTTTTTTAAAGATCAAGATGAAGTCAGCGATTTCTTAACATTGGGACTCAAGACCTCTATAAATACAAAATTCATAGAAAAGGAAAAAATTCCCCTATGTATTTTTCTATGTGGACGGTTTCATCAGAAAATGTACCATGTTGAGGTCTCTCCTTATGTATTACTAGTTTCTTGAAAAACCGCTAGAATGTCCTCATTGTGAATAAGTGTTCCAGTTAGACCTAAACGACAAAAACCACTTGCACGTGCCCCAAATTTACAGTTTAAAGCAACTGCCATCACCACCACCAACGTCTCTTCGATGCAAAGGGACACTTTGTCATGAGGTTATTTCCTTTCTCTATTCTGGGGAAAAAAAAAAACCATACAAACAAACAAACAAAAAAAACATTGAAAGTGGAATGAAAAGTAATTACAAAGGGGGCAGAGGAAGGAAAAAAAAAGGCACCAGCACCACCCTCACCACCACCACCCAGCAAGCACAGGTGAAAAATTTGCGTATCCTGAAAACACTGAACATTTCACAACAGAACCCAGAACAAATAAACCAGGGAAAGCAGAGTTCAGAGAAAAAAAAATGGTGCAGGGTTGGGGGACGGGCTCATACTACAGCGGTCGTAAGAGGGAAAGAGTACGTTTCTGCTTTTTCTTGGCACGCGAAAACTCAAGCTCGATCTACGGGCAAAGGCCAGCGGCTCGGGTTCCACCGGCAAAGGCGCGCACATTTTTGAGCTTCCGCCCCCGAGCTCAGAACGCACGCTGGCAGCGCCAAGAAAAGTGGGAACCACGGCCGGCCCTCGGCTGGGGTTGGGCGGCCTCCCTCCGCCCCGTGGCCGCCGCCAGCCCCTTTGTCTCCCCGTGGGGAATCCAAGGCGGCCGCGCAGACGCCGCCGCGCTCCCGGAAGACCCCGCGGGAGGGCCGCGCGCGAGTAGGCGAGTTCCCGTGCCCGCCGCAGCCCGGCCCTGCCCCAGGCGTCCACAGCCCGTCAGGCAATGCCGAGGCCGCTCGCTCGCCGCGCCGTCCCTCCCAACTTGCAGCCCGGATCCCGGGCGCGGCAGGGCCCGCCCCAGCTCTGCTTTCCTCCCTCCCCTCGCCCCGAGAGGCCCACCTTGTGTCTGTTTTATTTTTGGGGGCTCGGGAGAGTGCCGAGAGCTAGAAACAGCTGTGGTTTACCGCTTATTTTGGCAAAAATTCTGGGCCTCTTGTTGCAATGTTCCCCAGCGCGACACAGCTCCCGCCTTCCCTCCCCGCAGAACCCGACACACGAAGAGGGGCTTGCTCCTCCAGGGACCCCCTGACAGGAAAAGTGGGACCCACAGTCAGCTCTCGCGCGAGCCCTGGGGGTGGGCGGCCGGAAGCCACCGAACCGGCCGGGCAGGACTTGCTCTCCTGAGGGAGCTGGAGAGGTGAGAGCGCCCGCGGGCTCAGGTTCCCCCGGGCCACCGCGCCGAGGCGGGGCTCAGGGACGAAACAGAGGTCGTGGCGAACAGCCGGCGGGCGCGGGAGGGGGGGCGGCGGTCCACCTGGGCGACGTGGCAGCCATTGCCAGCGCCTCGAGACCCCTCCCCACCCGGCCGCCCACCCGCCCTCTCGCGGCGGGCTCCCGCGCGGCTGCTCTTCCCTGGCCGGACGGAGAGCGGCAGTGTCTCCCCGCCGGGCGCGCTCACCGCGTCTCCCCCCCGCGGCCGCAGCTGCTCGCTAGCCCTGCGCGGCGCCGGAGAGCACAGTGGCGCCGGCGGGAAAGGGTTGCGGACCCGCGGCGCCGCGTTGTGCTCTCGACGACGCGGCCCCGGCTTCGACGCCCTCGGTCCGCTGCAGGAGCAGGTAAAGGCGGCGGATGGGAGGCAGGGCAGCGGGTCAGAAGTGAGGGCCCTGGAGGGAAGGGGTCCCGGGGCACCGAGCCGAAGCAGAGGGCCCGAGGCAGCGGCGGGCGGCGCGGCGAGCGAATCCGCAAGCCCTGAACGTGGGGCCCTGTGCGGGTCGCCTCCGGTCCGACCAGCGGGCCCGGCCGCCCGGACGGAAGGGAAGTGAGGCGTCGGCGAGAGGCGGGCCCTGGCGCGCAGCCCGGGGCCGGGCGAAGGCGGGGGCCGCGGTCGTTCCTCGGCCTCCGAGTGCCTGGCGGGCCTCCAGGCCCCAGACACACCCCTCTAGCCCCCCGAGGTTCCTTTCGGATCTGTTCCCGCCGGGACCTGACCTTGCGCGCCTCCCGGCGCCTTCGGTGTTTCCCAGGCGGAGCCTTCTGGGAACTTCGGGCCACCTTCCTGAGCCGTTTATTTACTCCAAGTCCAGACACACCGCCACTCACAGGTTCGGATTTTGGAGACTGCGAGGAGACCTTCCCCTACCGGGCATTTGTGCGTCTCTGACCCTCGTCCCGCCTCCCCGTCCCCATCCGCAACTTTGACCCTCACGGGGAGCCTTCTAGAGCTCCGCTCTCCTCGGGACCCTCTCCGAGCCGTCCCTTTGGAAATTCATCCTCAATAGAGTGAGTCATTTTAACGGGGGCACAGTTCATCCCTCATGCGCTTTTGGTTAAAATACTTTTTTTCCCCCAGAAAGAGAACTAGAGTAATGGAATGTAGATGACAGGTCAGTGGCGGTGTTGGCTTCAAAGGCTCTTCCTTTCCGCGGCACTCTTTGGAACTAGGTTCTGGTATTAGTGGCACGGACAGGTTTGTACACATTGTCGCCATGCAGTGGTTGTAATGTCTCCATAGCACAGTTCTGGCTTGAAGGCAGGATTGGCTGCTTTTTCTACTCGACATCTTTGAGCCAATCAGCAAGGGCTGCTTGCCTGGAGACTGGTTAACTCAATAAAGGTGGCGATTGGTTGAGCTCCTAGAAGAAAATCCTGGAGATGAACCTAGCCTCTCAGAAAACAATGACTGATTTGCAGCTGTATTAAAAAAATGTTTTCTTTTAATCCCAACACCAGCCTTTTTACTCCGTTTTTATTCCAGTGTTTTTCTTTCAAACACCAGCTGTCTTTTGTAACTCGTTTTAACCCTCATCCTTTAATTTTAACTGTAAGACTTCTTACTCCATTTAGGAAATGTAAACATCGTGCGTTCTGTGTTTTGATAAACGTGGTTCGAGCTGCCTTTCTAACATTGTTTATTGCTAAAGGTCAGAAATTAAATCAACAGTTTTGAGTTTCGCTGCCAGGGGACCTTTATTATTTAAGTGCCGTGCTGGAGGGGGAGGGGCGGTTGGAGTGAGGGGCTGGAGGAGTGGACAAAGCGGGAAGAGGAAATAAATGGCTGCTCTTTTGTAAGGAGGCCACAACTTAGTTAATGAAAAAAGACTAACCTGTAAAACAATAAAGAATAAAGCAGTACAGGTCAGCACGCAGTACGTACGAATGCTAGTTTGTGTACCTGTTGACTTTAGTTGATTTGAAGGGGAGATAGAAGTACTGTATTTAATAGGAAAAATGGGCTTAAGTTATGGTGGAGACATATTTTTTCCTTCATTAAAGTATATTAAAGTAGGCATAGTATCTTGTACATGGTACAGGCTAGATATTATCACTGTAATTGCATGTTTTAAAAAAATTTATTTTAAATCTAAATACTGTTACATAGTTGCATTTATTATTACTATTATTTTTTGAGACAACGTCTGGCCGTATCACCAAGGCTGGAGTGCAGTGGCACTATCTAAGCTCACTGCCATGTCTGCCTCCGGGGCTCAAGCCATCCTCCTACCTCATTCCCTAGAGTAGCTGGGACATCTGGCTAATTTTTGTATTTTTTGTAGAGACGGGGTTTCGCCATGTTGCCCAGGCTGGTCTCAAACTCCTGAGCTCAAGCTATTTGCCTGCCTTGGCCTCCCAAAGTTCTGAGATTACAGTAGTGGCTACCACGCCAGCCAGTCCATTCCATGTTTTAGAAAGCCGATCATTTTCCTTTTAAAACCTCGCTTTTCTTCATGATTAGCCATGATTATGCATGTCTTTTGATATGCAAAGCTGCAACCGTTTATTAGTCAATGAATTTCGGAAAATAGCTACTTACCTTCTTTGCTTTCCTTCCAGCTTTTTTTTTGGAGACAGAGTTTTTCTCTTGTTGCCCAGGCTGGAATGCAATGGTGTGATCTCGGCTCACTGCAACCTTCGCCTTCTGGGTTCAAGCAGTTCTCCTGTCTCAGCCTCCCAAGTAGCTGGGATTACGGGTGCCCACCACCACGCTCAGCTAATTTTTGTATTGTTAGTAGAGAAGGGGTTTCACCATGTTGGCCAGGCTGGTCTCAAACTCCTGATCTCAGGTGATTCATCCCCTCAGCCTTCCAAAGTGCTGGGTTTACAGGTGTGAACCAGTGAGGGCCTGGCCTCCTTTCAGCTTTTTATATGCAAGATCATATTGTAAATCTTGGGAAGAATCAGTTGTCTATTAAATGCCTTTAAAAGTAGTTGATGTTAGGAATTTAAGAAGAGATTGAGCATTTTTATTTAATTAATTTATTTATTTTGAGACAGAGCCTCACTCTGTTGCCCAGGCTGGGTGTGCAGCAGCACTATCTTGTTTCACTGCAATGGCTGCCTCCTGGGTTCAGGTGATTCTCAGCCTCTGTTGTAGATGGGATTACAGATGCTCGGCACCATACCCAGGTAACTTTTGTATTTTTAGTAGGTATGAGTTTTCGCCATGTTGGTGAGGTGGGTCTGTAACTCCTGGTCTCAAGTGATCTGCCTGCCTTGGCCTCCCAAAATGCTAGGGTTACAGGTGTGAGCCATCCTGCCTGGCCCAAGAGCCTGATAACGAGTAAGCATACATTAAGTCCTATATCATTACCAACCTCATTGCCCTCATCCTCATAGTAATGAAGTGGTATACATGTATATTTACACACATACACACCAGGCACTGTTTTAAGCACTTTGCATATCCAATTGTATTTAATTCTTACAACTCTGAGATTTGCACTCTTCTTACAGAGGAGGAGACAGACTGAGAAATATTAAGAAACTTGCTGAAAGTTATCCAACTAGTGTGTGGGTGTGGAAGTGTATGAATGTATCAGGTAGGTTTCAGTCAAACCTAGATCTTTGTGACCCAAAATCATCCTCTGCTGCTGCTTTTTTTTTTTTTTTTTTTTTTTTTTTTTTTTAAAGAGACAGAGTCTCACTAGGTTGCTCAGGCTGCTCTTGAACTCCTGGGCTCAAGCAATCCTCCTGCCTCGGCCTCCCAAGGTGCTGAGATCACAGGCGTGAGCCACTGTGCTCATGCCTTGGGAAGAGTATTTTACATTCTTAGCTGAGAGCTTGAATCTCAGCATTGCCCTCCAGAATTTTTTTTTTTTTTGAGACGGAGGCTTGAATAGTTTCCCAGGCTGGAGTGCAGTGGTGCAATCTCGGCTCACTGCAACCTCCGCCTCCCAAGTAGCTGGGATTACAGGCACATACCACCATACCCGGTTAATGTTTTTTTATTTTTAGTAGAGACAGAGTTTCACTATGTTGGCCAGACTGGTCTTGAACTTCTGACCTTGTGATCTGCCCGCCTTGGCCTCCCAAAGTGGTGGGATTATAGGTGTAAGCCTCTGTGCCTGGCCCAGAAATTATTTTATTAGAACTATACATCTAGATTGTGGTTAATTTTTTTTTTTTTTTTGAGATGGAGTTTTGCTCTGTCGCCCAGGCTGGACTGCAATGGTGCGATCTCAGTTTACTGCAACCTCTGCTTCCCAGTTTCAAGTGATTCTTCCACCTCACCCTCCCAAGTAGCTGGGATTACAGACATACACCATCATGCCCGGCTAATTTTTATATTTTTGTAGAGACAGGGTTTTGCCATGTTGGCCAGGCTGGTCATGAACATCTGACCTCAGGTGATCCACCTTGGCCTCCCAAGATGCTGGGATTACAGGCATGGGCTACCGTTGCTAGCCTCGTTAATCAATTCTATCTGAGCTCACATACTTTAAACATTCAGAGATTCAAAGAGCCTTTAACAAATTTATGTGGCTAAGTAGCTCTATTTAAAAAAAATTTTTTTTTGGAGACAGTGTCTCCCTCTGTCACCCAGGCTGTAGTGCAGTGCCACAATTATAGCTCACTGTAGCCTTGAATTCCTGGGCTCAAGGGATCCTTCTGCAACAGCCACTTGAGTAGCTGGGAGTATAAGCATATAACACCATGCCTGGCTCATTTAAAATTTTTTTTTTTCTGTAGAGTCAGGGTCTTGCTGTGTTGCCTAGGCTGGTCGTAAACTTGTGGGCTCAAGCAGTCCTCTCAGCTCAGCCTCTGAAGTTGCTGGGAATACGGGCCTGAGCCACCATGCCTGGCCTTTTTCTCTGAATGTGGATTGTGTACCCTATCCTTTGATCATCTATTGGTTGTTTTTCTTTCCTTCTTTTTTTTTTCTTTTTTTCTTTCTTTTTTTTTAAATTTAAATTGAGATAGGGTGTTGTTGCCATATTGCCCAGGCTGGTCTGAGACTTCTGAGCTCAAGTGATCCTCCCATCTCAGCCTCCTAAAGTGCTAGAATTACAAGTGTGAGCCACTGTGCTTAGCTGACTGTTTTTCTTAAAACTTTATGCAAGCCCCAGATATATAGTTATTAGTGTCTTTATTATTATTATTTTTGAGCTGGAGTATCACTCTGTCACCAAGGTTGGAGTGTGGTGCCATCATCTCGGCTCACTGCAACCTCTGTCGGGTTCAAGCGATTCTCCTGCCTCAGCCTCTGACTAGCTGGGATTACAGGTGCCTACCACCATGCTCGGCTAATGTTTGTATTTTTATTTTTAATTTTATTTATTTATTTAGAGATGGAGTCTTGCTCTTGTTGCCCAGTCTGGAGTGCAGTGGCATGATCCTGGCT